TTAATGTGTCTAATCTCTGCTGGCAATACTGCTTTCAAAAATATTTATTACCAAATTGATCACTCTGCTGAAGAATTTAAATGAAGACCATCCATAACAAAAAAATTGAAAATGTTAAAAATTAGAATTCCTCTCAATACTGTGAAATAGCCCTTAAGATAGGTCACTTACTTCTCAGACTACACGAGTTATGGTGCACACTGTAGAAGTGACAGTACACACAATAATGTGGTTCCTGTTTCAGTCTTGGAAGACTTTGGGATATTAATCTTTGATAATTACAGAATTTAAAATAGAGGTAATAAGGTTGTCTTAGAGTCCATTGATATACTGATCACAATAGTCTCTTGTGACAGGCTTACTGCTTTTCAAATATTGCAGTGGCACCTTGGGTGTTTTTTTTTTTTTTTTTGGTATTTTTTTAAAGGAAAATGACAAAGGAGATTGGGTTGGTTGAGGTTAACTTTTGGGGGGTAACAAATATAGAAGAAATAACTAAAATACATTTATCGTATAGTTTACAATTTGTATGAATTCTGTGTTCATAAAAATGTTAAGTGCTATGAAATATTTTCAGTCAATTGTTTTTGGCTATCTAGATATATAAAGTCTTTTCTTCTTAATTTAATAAGGAATTGGAATTTACAGCAAAGTGTGTTTATTGAGCATTTTAAACAGTGTAGATCAGCTAGTTCCTGGATTCTTTGACAAAAAATTATAATAAAACCAATATCTAATATTTGATAAAATTCTGTTAAACTATTTTAGATTATGATCATTCTTAATGCATCAGAAAAAAAAGCTAATAAGTGTTAGGTAATGTGATATATTGGAAAGAGAATAGGCTTTAGGGTCAGGCTGGTTTTTCCTCTTACTCGCTAGGTGACCTTGGACAATTTACCCTATTCTTTGGCAAAATGTTCTTACTACAGAGTCATAAGTATTCAACTTATGACTTAACTATAGAGTCATAAGGATTAAATAGGATCTTAACTATAACTGAATGTTCTCTATGTGTTTGACTAAGGATTAGCATGCTTTTCCTGAAAAGGGCCAGATAACAAACATGCTAGGCTTTGTAGATCTGTCACAACTATTCAACTTTCCTATGTTATAACATAAAAACAGCCACAGACAATACATAAATGAATGAGAATGCCTATGTTCTCATAAAACTTTATATATGGATGCTAAAATTTGATTTTCATATATTTTTCACATCATGTAAAAAGCTGGGCACAGTGGTGTGCACCTGTAGTCCCAGCCACTTGGGAGGTTGAGGTAGGAGGACTTCAAATTGGAGCCCAGCCTGAGTGGGTAACATACACAATCTCCCAAAACAAAACAAAAAATCATTCTTAGCTTGTAGCCCCTACAAAATCAGGTGGCATGGCCCATGGGCTATAGTTTGCTAACCCCAGCCTTAAGACATTTATTGGATCTTTATTTTGTAGATGAGGGAAACAGGTAAGGAATTGTTAGGTGGTTTTCTCAGAACTAGTTAAGTGTTATAATCATTAAAAATGACTAGTATAGAACCCTACACATGGTTTACAGAGCCAACTGAAATAATAAGACATTTTGCAACACTTTCCATCCATTTATTCCACAGGCATTTATTGGACAATGAGGCTGATACAGTGCTAGGCCCATTAAAATAACCTTACAGAGTTTTCTTGTAAGCAGTTGCTTGTTGATTGCCTTTGTTTTAATATTTAAAAGGATAGCTTAGTTGACACACAGGAAAAAAAAATCAGTATCTTGGTTTTATACAGACTTCCCCCCTGCCCAAAGTGCTTCTGATACTTTTTGTCATTCATTCTCAAAGCATCCCTGTATGAAAGGATGAGAATTAACGTCCTTATTTTATGGGGAAATAGATAATTTGGGGGGAAACTGAAGCTGTGGTTTGGGGATGTTATTTGACTTTGAGATTGTGTGTTATGACCATAATATTAACATCAGAACCAGAACTCATATTTCCTGTATTCCTTTCTACCATAAATGCTGTGGTGGAAATGGAGGACTAATACACAAAAATATAGTTCTGAGACTTTCTAACTTCATCATGACACAAATCATACATGACAACAGTAATTCAGTAAGGGTTTTCAGAATAATTTCATGTCTTACAACTAACAGCTGCAACAGTGTAAAGAAATACACCAATCTAAATTATAAACATAATAAAAAACATTAAAAATCACCTTTTTTCTTAAATGTGCATTCACTTCTTGCCTAAAATCTGTAGTATGCTGGAATTTGTCATTTTTATTAAAGGAAGAAAGTTGCACTTATTTCAAATATAAGAGTGAGATGCCTAAAATATGTTGAGGATGTTTGCAAATTGCACAACCTTATAAAAGTTTCTTTTCCCAATATTCTATTAAACTGGGGAGGAGGCAGTTTTTAAGAAATTGATTTTGAAGATTTTTAGGGTAAGAAAAAAGCAAAGGTGTTTCAGAATGAGAATATTCAAGCCTGAATTGACCTTTCAAAGCAAGTCTCAACCTTTGAGCACTGCTTTATTGCTTCAGATCAAAATGCATGATTGGCAAATACTATTCCCATTGTATGGTTTTGCTCAGCACTTTATAGGACATATGCAAAAACCTTTCTACAGCTCTTAATTTAAAAAAAAAATCCATGGTTCACATTTAATGACTGGATTCCAGTTAGATCTTATAAGCCATTCTTTATCAGTTGTTTCATTATTGGAGAAATTAATTACTGTTGATATAAATTCTCATGGTAAAGGATATGTAGTTCCCTAGTTAATCACAAATTTGCTACTATATCTTACACCAGAAACAGTGCCTGCCCTACCAAAACACCCACACCCTTAACATTTGTGTGTTTGTTTGAATTGTAAGTTTTGAGAAGGGTACCATTATTGTATTATATAAATTTGCAATCATATATTCTTATACAAATATTATTAAAGTACATATATAGTTATAGGGCTACTGTCCATTGAGAGCTAGTATATCTTTTCCATAGTGCTGATAACACATTTTTCTACCCTACCAAACTACCCCCATTCTCAAACCCCTTTTGATTTACAGATTATAACATTTTATTCTAGATTTATTGTTCAGACCATCAAACATTCTCAGTCCTTGAATATATCTTCTTGTAACCTTGTCCAGTGAATTATAATATATTCTTTAATTACTTGAATTATTAACTTTCTGTTTTCTCTTCAATGAAAAAACTGAAATGACCTTTAAACTTTTTGACTTCGTGGCAAAGGATGTCTTTTAAAATGAAGAAACATACACATAAATAAAAGAATCCTGGTAACAACTGTTTTATAAATATGTGACTGTATTTTTTCATTTCCAGAAACTCTTATTGAATAGAATTCAGGTATATTCCTCCAAAACCCACACAGTTCAGAGATGTTCTAACACCAAGTTTCCATTTGTATTAAAATGGGCAAGATAATAAAGGCACAGGCTCACTTTATCAATAAAGGACATCAAACACAATCAAGAGGCACTAACAACACATAAGCATAGTCAGTCACAAAAAGCAAATATTCAAAGTCTTCAGTAACTTTTCTCCCTTTAACATTTGGCAAAATTCAGTCTAGATACTTTAATACCTCAGAAAGAAAAAATAAATAAGAGAAGCTACATTAAAATGTCAGATTACCTAGAATTAGTCTTTAAAAATATAAGAAAAAGGGATAAAAATGAAAGGAAGAGAACACAAATTTCCTATATTCTTAGATTATCCTTCCTTTCTGAGGGTCTCAGATGTCTGAGTGCATCTGCAGAAATGCCAGCTATACCTGAAGATTTAAGAGATTTTTGGTAGTTGCTGACATGGTCCCTCGACACTTAAAGTTTGTATCACAAAAACAAAACTAGCTTGGTTTCTGCTTTTTAGTCCTTTGTTAAAAACCATAAATCAAATTTGGTTATTTAAAAGTGATCTAAAAAAGTTTAAAAGAAAAAAAATATATTCTGTCTTCCCAAGAATAAACAGATTGCATAATTAGACTTCAGTGGCAAATAAATATAAAGCCAAGCAAGTTCCTCTCTATCTATACAGACTAAGAAAACAGAGTTGTTATTTCTTTATTGTTGATGACCACATCACTCAGAACATATCAAGCACTAGTTTCAGAATTTTAGGAGACTTTTTCCATGACACAATATGAAAGATAAAGGTTTAAGTCTGAGCAGGCAGAATAGATCTGCACTCACAATATCCCTATGACAAACATATGACAAATGAACAGCAAAACGGCTGAATCTGTTTACATGATAGCCATTGTCTATGTGATATATAACTACTTGCTTTCTATGGGTTAATGCCACCCATTGCAAGAGATGGCCATCAATGGAGCATGCCACTTCACAAGTAAGCCTAAGTCTAACTGCAGAAATAACATGGAAATGTTTCAGCCTATCCATAGTACTTAAATATATTTTTAAATTTTTCCTAGGAAATTAATTTTGATAATATTTCCCAAGTCCTTTAACTAAAGGTACCTTGATAATTTCTGTCTTTTTACATCAAAATCTACCAGTTGTTTTTTTTTAACAAAACTGTTTCCAGGTATTAGGAATAAGGGAGCTGATACAGCATGTATTCACAATTAATTGTTAATATTTTTCAATGAATTACAATAAACTTTTTGCATGCTTGAAAAATTAATTATAAAGAAGAAAAGAAAGAATACTTATAGGAAGATTTTAATAATTTGGTGTTTTGGATTTTTTTTTTTTTGGCTTAAAAACAACCCCCAATATTTATCTCTGACAACACAGTGTGTGTGTGTACATAAAGTTCATTTCCATGCTTATTACATAAAAATAACTATCAGAAATATCAGCCTATCAACACCAGCTGATGTATATCCAATCAATTCACTGCAGAAGGGAAAGTAAAACAAAAAACTAAAGTAATAATTAAAGCTTATAGTTTAATTTTTTTCTGTTTTTCTTTCTTGTTTTTTTTTTTGGTTTTTTTTTTTTTTTTTTTTTTTGCTTGTTTGAAATTTTTTTTGGTGGGGTTTTTTGTTTTGTTTTTTTTTGGTGTTCTGTTGCAAGCTGCTGATTCCTAGATTAATGGCCTCCAAGTAGATTTGAAAGGAAGCCTGAAGACTTCTTATTTTGCTGTGTTTCTGCTTCCTGGTCTTGTGTAAGTCCCAATTCACTCTCAATTTGATCCAGCTCTGACTGGTCAAGTAGTTCAAAGTCATCACCTTCTTCAGTGTCTGTGTCTTCTCCTGGGCTGGGTGCAGCCTCAGAAATTGCTTGCTGCACACCCCCTAACTGGTCTTTGATAGCAGCAGTCACTGCAGCTGTGATGACGTTCCCAGCCAGGTTGCTCATCAAGTTAAAGGTTTGGTCACTGTTCAGAGGAAGAATGAGACCAGCTGCTGATTGCCTCTCTTTGCTTGGCCTGTGACCACTGTCCAGCTGTTCCTTTTTTCTCTTGAGCTCAGTGGGCAAGCCAAGGCTTAATTCGTCTTCATCATTTGTTCCCATGCCATTTTCTAGAGATGGAAAATCTGAAAGATCTCGAGAGAAAACTTCCTCGCTAGGTCGGTCAAGATCTGTGAAATGCATAACAGAAGTTCATGCTTAAGTGCCATAACAAATTTGAAATAAAAGAGCTGTCTAAAAGATGTCTGACCTTAATCTGAATCCTCTGGGCAACTTTGGCATTCATCTATCCTCCTGAGTCAACCTGAATCAATTTAACCACATATTGGACCCTTCCCAAATCTGTGACACTCTCTCTACAAACATATCCCCCTCCCAAAGACACATCCCCTATATCTTTTAGCTTTCCTCTTAAGCACAAAACACTGTAAGTAATGATTTAATATTCAACCTTGTCTAAGCTTAAGGCTTTGACTAAAGTTTAAGCATTCACTATAAAAATTCCATCCTGCTCCTAGGGTGGGAATTATCTTAAGCCAATGGACATAATGTATTATCATAAAATAAAAAAATACTTCAATTTAAAGTTTTCATGGGTTCTGGCATATCAAATAGTGAGTATTATCTAGCTTCATTTTCATACATGGAGAACTAGCTGAGTATCTGTAACCTATATTTGTTTGAAGCAATGAAAAGAAGATACTGTTCCTTCTATTCCATGTTCAACCCAACAGCTATGGAAACATTTGGCTGTAACTACAGCTGAAATTGACCATTCTAAGATTCAGGACATCTGAAATGTCAGATTAGGAGGTAAACTGATTATATTGGTTTTATTTTTCATAGGAAATCTTTCAGTGTAACAGTTAACTCCTTAAAACAGTGATTTGAAATCTTCAATTCAATTAGTGAAAAGCCTTATATCTGGGTTGTATTATTACTGTCCCTTTTATTGTGTAATCTGAGATAGGATGCTTAAGAACAAAGTACTCATTATCCTGATCTTTAAAATGACCTCAATTGTATAAATTGAATGAGCTTGAACTTGAAGAGCTTGAATAAGCTTCAGTGATCTTCTTGTTCTAATGTGCTTTAAAGATGAGGAAATTGAGGCCCACAAAAAATGTCACCTATTCAAGGTTACACAGTCAGCTGGTGACACAGGCAAGACTCCACTTGTGTCTCCCAACCTTCAAACCCATCTTCTTTCAAACACTGCACCGCCTTCACCCTCTCCTTGCTATAGAAAAGAAAGAATGTTCTTGGAAAATAACTATGAAACAGTTTATTCATCTAGTCTGTTCACGTGTTCAGTATATGGCTAAGACCACTTAAAATAATCCACTTAGACTAACAGAAGTTAAGTTATTGCACAAATGTCCCTCAACTGAGGTTATGGATGGAATTTGCATCAGTGCTCTCCAATATTAAATTTTATTTAACCTAAATATTAAAAACAATGGAGCTTTTTTAATTTTGAGGACACATATGAAAAACTTCGGAGTCAGTTTTGTACTCAGGGAACTTTCCTTCCATGCTTTAGTCCCTCTCAATGAGGACTGGCCCTGAATGTATGGAATTAGCTTCTTTCTCTCCTCTTGTTATTTCTAAAAGCAATGCCACCAGACATTTCAGAAAGTAATTTTTAAAAATGTTTCAATTTCTTTTGTTTTCAAAATAAAAGATTTGGACAGTGAGTTAGATTTTTCCCCTCGTACTGTTTAAAATGTAACAGCTTTTGAGATATAATTTATATACCAAAATCCTCACCCTTCTATAGTATATTCACAAAGCTGTACAACCATTACCACTATCTAATTCCAGAACATTTTCATCACTCCAAAAGGAAACTCATACCAATTAATAATTACTCTGTATTCCCTCCTTCCTCCAGTCCCTGGCAACCACTCACCTATCTTCCCTCTATATCGACTTGCCTGTTCTGGATATTTCATGTAAGTCCAATCATATAATATGTGGCCTTTTGTGTCTGGCCTCTTTCACTTAACATACTGTTTTCAAGGTTCATCCATATCGTACCAAGTATCACTATTTAATTTTTTTTTTTTGGAGACAGAGTCTTGCTTGTCCCCTTGGCTAGAGTGCCATGGCATCATCATAGCTCACAGCAACCTCAAACTCCTGAGTTCAAGCGATCCTTCTGCCTCAGCCTCTTAAGTATCTGGGAGTACAGGCTTCAGAGCCCAGCTAATTTTTTTTTTTTTTATTGTAGAGATGTGGTCTCATTCTTGCTCAAGCTGGTCTTGAACTCCTGACCTCCTGACCTCAAAGTGATCCTCCCACCTTAGCCTTCTGGAGTGCTAGGATTATAAGTATGAACCACCACATATGGCCTTCGTTCATCTTTTTTTTTATTTTTTTTTTGAGACAGTCTCACTTTGCCCAGGCTAGAGTGAGTGCCATGGCGTCAGCCTAGCTCACAGCAACCTCAAACTCCTGGGCTCAAGCAATCCTGCTGCCTCAGCCTCCCAAGTAGCTGGACTACAGGCATGCACCACCATGCCCAATTAATTTTTTTCTATATATATTAGTTGGCCAATTAATATCTTTCTATTTATAGTAGAGATGGGGTCTTGCTCTTGCTCAGTCTAGTTTCGAACTCCTGACCATAAGCAATCCACCCGCCTCGGCCTCCCAGAGTGCTAGGATTACAGGCGTGAGCCACCACACGGGGCCTTCATTCATTTTTATAACCAAGGAATACTCCACTGTATATATACACCACATTTTACTTACCCACTCAATAGTTGACAAACGTTAAATACTTTCACATGCCCTCATAATAATAAAAATAAGGTTATCCAGAAATATTAGCATACCGTCGGAAGTGTCTGTCTGTGGAGTGTATCCTTCTGAAAGGTTGAAGGTCCCATTATCGGTCCAGGACACCTCTGAGACATCTGTGTCAGACACAGATAACTCTTTGGCAGCGACAGTGAGGCTAATCTGTGTTAACATAAATACCAGTGGCACATTTTAAGCTGCTGAAGGAAATGCATTGAAAGATCCATACTAACCCCCAAAATGTCAGAGTAATGAAAACTAGATGAGTATTTTCCTTTTGAAATCATCAATCATCTTACAGAAATAGAAGGAGTCTATTAGAAAAATCATTCATCTTTGGTACATGTAAATAATTTTACAGTTAAACCACACAGGAATGGAAAACTAAACAAACAAACAAAAAAATACCTTAGGACAAAGAGCTGAAAACTCTAATTCACTGTCATCTTTGTGACTTTTTTCTTTATCTGCTTCTGTTGAGAAAAAATTTGGAAGCTTTCAGTTTCTTGGCCAGCTTTGACATGGTGTAGTTACTTCATTATATATTCTTACCCCCCATTCCTCACATTCTCTAATACTTCCATATAATTAACTGTGTGCGCATAACAAACCTCACATATTTGTAAAATGTTTGATTTAAAGGAAATGGTCCACATTCGTGGTTCTCCTAGTGTGGTCCCTGAACCACCACCAGCAGCAGCAGCCCTGAGAACTTTTTAGAAATGCAGATTCTCAGGCCCTACCCTCGACCTACTGCATCAGAAGCTCTGGGTGGTTCCCCGCAATGTATGCTTTAATAAGCCTTCCAGGTGGCTCTGGTTCGTGTTTGAGAACCTAGAAGGTCACAGGCCAAGTTAAAAGGTAAAAAATGATCATACTGGTTTTTTCTCTATTTTCTTTTCCTTCCTTCCCCTGTTCTTTCAATCTCCTCTCACATGGCTCCCACGCTCTTAGCCCTAAGCTGTGTTATCTTTTTATTTGCAATAACAGTCCAACCCAAAATAAAACAAAGTAAATCACAAATAGCAAAATATAGAGTGTTGAGGCCTTTTCTCCCTCCTGACAATTTGGATTTAAAAGTCAATTTATTTGTTATGTTTGAGAAAAAAAAATGTCTAAATAGGAAAGGATATATATATTACTTTGGGGGGCTTAGCTTCTACAATAATATTTAGTAAAAGGCTAAAGGTACCCTGAACTATATGAAAGGTGATTTCATAAAAAGAGCCTGTTAATGTCTCATATTTCATGCAAAGAATCTAAAATTGAGACTTCACCTACCTGATCTCTCACGTTTCTTCTGATTAATATATTCTCCAATTCCAAAATCTAGTTTCAGCAGAACTGACTTGATTTTGCTGTATATTTTTTGTCCAATATCATTACACTTAAACAGTGGACACAAAAATGCACACAGTACTGAAATATAAGAAGGAAGAAAAAATAGGTAAAATGCCCTTCATTTTAAAAGGCTACATCTTAGTATTTCACAAAATACTACAGTTCTCTTACCGAAATAATAGAAGTTTTGGGTTTTTTGGGGAAATGCCTCTGTAAAATAAATTTAAACTTGTATTCTTCTCCTGTAAACATTTTCTATGAAATACTCTACAGTACACGCACATATGTGTGTGTACATGCCATGCTCATAGTCATTGTTTTTAGATTTACAATTAGATCAACTTCCTCCCCTCAATCCTTTTACGCTCAAAACTTATAGAAAGATTACGTGCTTTCCAGACAACAGTCCTGGATTAAAACTTCAACTCTATTTATTAAATGCCATTTTACCCCATGAGAAGTTATTATCACCTATTAGCTTCTCATCAGTAATACTTTCTTGAGGTTACTGTGAAGTATAAATGAGATTAATGCAAACCTTCTAAATAAAGCCTTGCCCAAATTAGACTCTCATTCCCCAGCCCTCTTCTCCTTTAACTCCTAAACAGTATAGAGCAAAGAGTCCTGATATGATATTGTATATTAGTTCTATCTGGGAAGAATGGATTTTAGCTCCAACTATTTGCCATTTGCATTATACATTAGGAATACAAAAAGAAATGAAGATTGCCACACTGAATGTACTGAATTCCTAAGTTCATTTCTTTGTTATTAGGAAATGTCCCCTACTACCTTTTTAAAACAGGAGCTAAACTCAAATATCTCCAGAGATTAAGAAATTATATGTAAAATTTAAAAGCCAGTTAAGAAAAATAGGAAAATATGAGAGTTAATTAAGTGAAGAGTAACTGCCCAGGTTGTAGTGCCAGATCTTCATATTTTTCAGGAGAAGCAGAAACTCTACACTTTATAAACAGCATTTTTTTAGAGTTGACATATGCCAAATTATATAAAGTGATAACAATTCGGTAAGTTTTGACATATGTATACACCTAGGAAAGTATTGCCACAATCAAGATAGTGAACATGTCTGCCACCCCCAAAAGTTTCCTCATGTTATTAATCCTTCCCTCCCGCCTCTCCTTGCACTCACCCACCTCTCATCCCCAGGTAACCACTGGCCTGCTTTGTCACTAAAGATTAGTTTGAATTTTCTAGAATTACATATAAATAGAATCATACAATACATATACTCGTTTATTGGCTTTTTTCCACTCAGCCTAATTATTTGGGGCTTTATCCATAATGTTGCACTAATTTGTTGTACTAATTTTTAGTGCTGAGCAGTGACCCATTGTATGGATATATCACATAATGGTATATGGTAACAGTTTGTTTATCCATTCATTCATTGATAGACATATGGACTGTATTCTGCTTTTGGCTACTACAAATAAACCTGGTATGTACATTCATGTACAGGTGTTTGTGCAGAAAAATGCTTTCATTTCTCTTGGGTAAATACTTAGCTGTGGGATGGCTGAGTCATACAGTAGTTTTTAAGAAACTGCCAAACCATTATCCAAAGTGATTTTGCCATTTGTTGGCAAATGGCAAAATTTGCCAATTGTTCCATATCCTTAATATGGTCAGTATTTTTTATTTTAGCCATTCCGGTGAGGGTGCAATGGTGTGTCATATGGTTTTAATTATTTTTTGAACCACAGAACATGCAAAAGACAAAGGTCTTGGTGTATTTTGTGGGGGTGGGGCACAGAGCTTATTTATAGTTTTCTTGATATATTAACATAAAATTATTCACTAGCTATTCTTCCAATTTTAAAATATATAAAAATATCTCTAGGAAAAAAGAAGAAACTTTGCAGAACAGGAGATTAAAGGATAATCCCCTTTTTGTCTTATAATTAAGAGCTCATCCCTCTTCTTCCAAACTGCAGAATGTCTGCTGACCATAAAATGATACCATATATATCACACAAATTAGCCAAATGTTCTATACATACTTACATAGCAGATAACTGAGTATAACCCCAGGAATGTAACTTCCCAAGATCGTAAAAAATGTGCACACACTGCAGACCAGGAGACAAAACTAGAAATAATAGAAATAACACAGGATAATTATTCATAACGCTGACATTTTGGAGCACAGGATACATACACAATTACGTATCTATAAGCAAACTATCAGGTTATGGAAAGTGTTTTTCAAACAGCATTCTTTTGTACTTAGGTCTAATGACTGTTGCATTTAACTGGCCTTAGTCCACTTCAGCACTTAGTAATAATCATGTGAGGACACAGGAGCTAATTTCTGACACTGACGATGACAATTGCCATTACTCATGCCTGTGGCTGTATTGCTGCCAGGTGTAAGAGAACAGAAGAGTAGTATGTCCCCGGAAACCCTTTTTATTCAGCATCATTTAATGAAAGTAATGCAGCCAGATAACTAAATCTGCAAGTTCAAACTATCACTATAAGCCCATCAAAATTCATAAAAACACAACAAAACATGTTGCAGAAATTTGAGAAATCTACATAAATCTAATTTAATTTACACAGCTGGAGATCTTCTGGGATAAATCTATGGCCATTACTATCCTCCCTTCTAACCATATCCACCCCTCAAATTAACCCCACTTCTACGTCACCTAGAAACCAACTGCAAATGAAATGAAACTACGATGGTGAAATCCAATCATTTTCCTTTTCTCTGTTATTTACCATTAAAAAAATCTTGGTTGTTTTAAGAAATTAAAAAACAACCTACAGAAAATCTCCTTAAATCCCATTAGAAACATCAAGACAGAAAAATTGTCCCATAAAGTCTTCACTTAATTTCCACACTCTAGTCTTGAACTATCTTACTTTTTATCTTTATTTGTGATATTAAATTAAACTGAGAAGCATGCAAAGAAAATTCATTAAGAGAATTTCCAAAAGACACATGAAGCAGGAATATAGCTTCTGATCAATAACTAATTAAGAGAGCAAGGGGGGGGGGTCTAAATTTAAGGTTAACTGATTTTTTATTCTTTGGTAGAGGGTTAATAAATTTACTAGTCAAAGGAGAATTCATGAACTTGTGGAACAAAATAAAGAGCTGCTTCTCAAACAATAAGGGACCTTGAAAGAATCTGGAATTCTAGGAACTAAATGGAAAAGGAAGGGCCATAAAAATCAAAAGGACAAATAAGTGAATAAAAGCATTACTATGTCCAGAATTTAGTTTTATAAAGGGATTTCTTACTATCCCCTTGACTTACAACATTTTCATCTTAAGGTAATTGACTTGGGGCACCTTAATGAAACAAAATACAGAAGTTTCAAGTTTAGAATCTTCCAAAAATATGTTTAATTACTTCAGTAAAATAGGTATCAACAATACATTGTACCCTCCCCTATGGATATCTATTCTAAAAAATTACCTTCAGTGATTTAAAAAGTCCATCTAAACATAGCACTGGCTCTTTAATATATGTTCAAAATGTCTCCAAACATAATTCTATTATTTCATACTAGGGAAATTTTGAGATTGCCTGTACATGGTACAATGAGAGGGATTTTGAGTGCTGACATTCCTAGTTCTTCATTCCAACTACAGGTGGATATTCAAGAACTTGAGGCAACACCTGAGCTATCAGGACAGTCAATCAGCATTAGAGCTGCCTCTCCACATAAAATAATCCAAGTGTGTGCAATGCACCAGTAATCCCTTTCCAACCATGCATGACTCTTCCCCTCATGGGTTTTCGCCTCAATTGGAAAAATACTTTTTGTTTATATAATCACTATAGATGTTTTGCCAAAAGTTTTCTTTCTTAAATAAATCATACAAGAATCTCCACTTTTTAGATTGAAAGTGAGACTCAGTTTTCTTGGAATGTCCCCTCAAAGGACGACATGTTCATTTCATCTCCCTTTGACACCAACACCGGGCTAAATATGGTAACTGAAAGTCTTAAGACTTTTTCTCCTTGGTCCGGCTGATAAGACCAATCACCATTCATTCTAGTTAATGAGCTAGATATATATGTATAAAACCAATCCAATTCAAATGTCAGGTTGAGGATTCTCTAGTGTTCACATATTAATATTTATAGCAGTGTTTAAGGCACATGTTCCTCATATATTATTAATATATTCAGAACATCTTATAAGCTGATACAAGAGGTTAGTTCATCTGTTTCCAAGTACATTGCACATTTTAAAACACACTCTTGTCCTGGAAAACTTGCCTTGCCAGGGCTCTGCTGTTTAAAAAGAGACATTTCTTGAAGAAATATGCTGAAATTCATCCATGATTCTGCAATACAGTGGCTGAGTCTGGGTCTTTCATCTGGTTTGGAATTGATAACTTCCCAGCTAAAGAGAGAGACAAAGAGAAAAAAAGGAACTGGATTTTAGATGATTCAGTCAATATTCATGGCTTCAGCAAATACTTATTGAGCATCTACTGTTGGCCACCCTACCCTAGAAAAGCCCTGTGCATTCAGAGGTGAATGAGCCAGATACCTGCTCCAGAAAGCTCACATGCCAAAAGAAACAATGAGCTATATAATTAGTTATCCAATTACAACAAGGGAAACGCTGAGGAAGGACCAGGCAAGGGCTTTGAGACATCTTCTCTGAAGTCATTTTTTAAATTTCTAATTTTTAATTATTATGGGTACACAACAGTTGTGTATCTTGATAGGGTACATATGATGTTTTGATACAGGCAATCAAGTACATTAATCAAATTGGGGTAATTGGGGTATCAATCACCTCAAGCATTTATTTCTTTGAGTTAGGTACATTCCAATTCTACTCTTTTAGTTATTTTAAAGTATACCATAACTTATTGTTGACTATGGTCACTTTGTTGTGCTATCAAATATTGTTCATTCTATCTAGTTAGCTATCTATATTTTTGTGAAGAAGTCATTTTTAAACTCAGACCTGGAATGGATTAGACCTGGTGAACTGCTGTTCACCATAAGGGTTTTGGAGAGACCAATAGACAATATATGCAGAGGCCCTAGAACGGGAAGGAGCTAAGAGCACTATCTATTTGTGCCTGAGTATGGCTCCAGCAAAGTGAATCAGAAGCTGGGAAGGAGGAGGGTCCCAGACCATACAAGGCCTTACAGGACTTGTTAGAAACTTGTTAAACCGCAAGGATCGAGAATCAGTACTTTCAAAGAAATCTTGGCATTAAGCATTATAATAATAATTATTAGTAAACACTAACACTATATTTTCAATATATACAGTAGTTAGTCAACTCTAAAGAAAATCGTTAAATTCAAACTCAGGATCTCACAGTATTCTCTATTTTTCTGGAGTTATCTTTTTCCAATCATCGTGTTGAACATGCTGCACAGGCCAGGAAATGTGCAGTGACCCTGCCCTCATTTTTCCACAAGAACCTCTGCAAGCTAAAAGCTAGAAGCCACCACTCCAGGAAAAAGACATACATATGCAAATACACGTCATTCCCTAAAATTCCAATGACGTTAAGGTTAATTCCTGCTCTTGCAATCCTAACTTACACAAGTTCAAACAAGCTGTGTGAAGGGCCCTCAAATTCATTCACTAAAGAAATAATTAGTGCCTATCCTGTTGAAGACATTGCCATAGAGTTGTGGATACAGCAGTAAACAATGCAGCAAAGTTTCTAGCACATGATAAAAATGATCTGTGACCTCTAATCTGAGCTATGACTGTTAAGTATCAGGGTGAGGCTGACCTTTGGATTCAACTCCCATAGCCCTAAGACAAATCAAAACTACCTGGGCCCTTAGATGCTCAACTACACAGAAATTGTGTACATAGAGAGATTCTGTCACTTTTAAATATAGTTTGTTGTTGTTTTCTATTTCAGCATATTATGTTAAGGTTATATTGCCCTTACCCCTTCTCCTCCCTCGAGTCAGAGCTTCAAGCGTGACCATCCCCCAGACGGTGCACATCTCACTCATTATGTATGTATATACCTGTCGAATTTGTAAATTAATTAAAATTCCTTTTTAAAATACAAATTTTATTTTATTTTATTTTATTCTTATTTTTTTGAGACAGAGTCTAGCTTTTTGTTGCCCAGGCTAGAGTGAGTGCCATGGCATCAGCCTAGCTCACAGCAACCTCAAACTCTTGGGCTCAAGCGATCCTCCTGCCTCAGCCTCCCGAGTAGCTGGGACTATAGGCATGTGCCACCATGCCCGGCTAATTTTTTCTATATATATTAGTTTGCCGATTAATTTCTTTCTATTTATAGTAGAGATGGGGTCTCGCTCTTGCTCAGGCTGGTTTCGAACTCCTGACCTCCAGCAATCCGCCTGCCTCGGCCTCTCAGAGTGCTAGGATTAGCCACCGCACCCGGCCTAAAATACAAATTTTAAATCCAAGTTTAAATGAGCACAATAGCATCAAAGGGTGGGCGGAGTATCTCATTTTTCTTCTTCTTTGTTCTGTCAGCCTCAACTACTGCTCTAGAAGGTCACTGTGCTACCAGTTGTCCAGGCTGGTGTTACTCCCCCAGGTAGACATCTGCAGAAGGATTTTCTGCCTGTCATAAGAAATGCACTTTTGGGGATGTCTCACTATTAGGGAGTGGTTTATGTCTCCACTAACTCTACCTCCTTTTAAATCATGGAGCAAACTTGTTTCCACTGGTGACCAAGTCTGGCATCAGATTTGCAGACCCCCATGAGTGATTCCAGACCTCTTTAAAAAAGCACTTTAAGTGAATGGCTAAGAAGCCAATATCTGTGACAAAATGTTGCCAATACATCTAATTAATGGGAAAAGATTTTGCACAGGAGAGCAAAAGCTGCATGGCAAGGAAATATAAGGTTATTAAATTGTAGTCTCTTTTCTCAGAAGAACACAGACTTTGGGGCAAACTGGCACAAACAGGTTAGGTTACTGTTCAGTTTAATGAGACTATAAATATGACAAAAACACAGATTTTAATTTCCGTTCTGTATGCCTATTGAGTAGTTATTTAAGGATTCAGTTAAACTGTTTGGCAAATATAATTCTAACAAAAATCAATGAAAAACTTATGATGGAAGGATTTGACTAACATTCTTTTAAAGATGAGAATGGTACCAACATTAGCAAAAGAGAAGAAGAAAAAATAAAGATTAAGATGGCATAAATGAACGTTTCATATTTTGAAACAAATTTAAAATATACTTTCATCAGGACAATGAGCAAATAAGATGAGTTGTGTTCAAGCAATGGAAGACAACAGTGAAAATGAATGAACTTAAACTTTATGTTTGTGTATGAACCTCGCAATCATAATATTGAGAAGAAATCACAGAAGAATATATACAGTATGATTTCATTTATATAAAGTTCAGAATTGTGGTAGGCTAAACAGATTAAGCAAGGAAACGATGAAAACAAAATTCGAGAGAGGGGCCTAAGTAGAGAATGTGATTTAAACCAAGGCATGTAAGACCTTCTTAGTTATTGGTCATGGGCTGTTTCTTAACTTGGGTGATGGATAACTTAGGTGAGAACCCACTTCCTACTGTTCTTAAAGTTACATATACATGTATGTGTAGGGGCGTGTGTGTATTTATATGTTTATGGCACTTTAAAAATCCTTTGATACTTAAATGTATAATCATGCTTTTATTTCATGACTAACATTCTTATATAAGTATATCCCACTTTAAATTCTATTGTCAAAAATACAAGTGTATTTTTACCTAGCTTTTGCCTCAATTTATTTGTGATGTAAAAGTAATATTTCTGTTGGCTAGAGCCATGAAAAATCATTTTGTTGAATAGATGGTACTTTGTATAGATGCTGGAGCTTTGTTCTAATGCTACCATTAGGAATCATGTCCAAGAAATGACACTATATTTGTATACATACTTTTTATTCTAGTAAATAAATGTCCTAAAATTGGAAAGAGCCTAGTCTAATACTAAACTACCACTATAGAGATAATTTTAGAACACAGAATTCATATAACTAAATGTGCTTTACAAAGATCACAATGAAATAACTAAAAATTCTCATTTGCATTTAAGGGTCTTAACTATTTTCCATAGTGAATTTTAAGTGGATACCATCCATCCATCCATTAATTTATTCACTTATTCAATGAAAAGTTATCAAGTTCCCTTTTTGTGCCTTGCATTATACTAAATGTGTAAAATACTGTTATTTCAAAAACTTGAATGCCTGTAGCACTATTCCTTTCTCTGTGTCTATAGAAAACACTAGTTGATGGGAAGAAATGAGAATATTCACCTTGTAACTATTTTCCAGGTCTATAAGAAAACACTCTTAATTAAATTTCTTCCCTTTGAAAGTTTTTTTGAACAATGAATTCCATTGTCACTTACATTTATATTAAAATAATAACAAATTATAATTGATATTTGAATGATTACAATCGCAATGAGAACTATTCATTGTGAAAAGTTATCTTGGGTTTTGGAAAGACTAATAGATGTTTGAGATAAAACTAAATGTTCAGACTATGCTGAATAAAATTTAATGGAAATATATATGATTTAAGTAATATAGTTATTAATTCATAATGAGACAAGACTTTGATGTCAACTTTTCAAATTCCTTTATTTTATATATGAAGAACATAAAACCCAAATTTTCTCAGCTTGTTTGGGACCAAGCCAAGACCCATGGCTGAGACTCCTGATTTCCAATACACTTTTATTTCCTTTACAACTGTGGTCCCCAACCCCTGCACAACACAACAGGAAGTGAGCAGCAGGTAAGCAACGAACTTGAAGCTTTGTCTGTATTTACAGCCGCTCCCCACTGCTCACCGCATCTTCTCCCTCAATAGCCCTGCCCCATCCCGAGAAAAATTGTCTTCCATGAAACCAGTCCCTGCTGCCAAAAAGGTTGGAGACTGCTGCTTTAAAACATGTGCCCTCTTCAAAGGATGAATAAATAAATTCAATGACATCCTTTGAAGAGACCACGTTGTAATTTAGAATGAAAAAGAACATTTCACGTTCCTCCCCACTCCTTCCTAGAACTAGCAGGGGTGAGGCCTGATTGACCAATACCAATGTGGCATCATGTGAAGACCAGCCCTTTCCAGGAAAATAGAGAACTTCATGTGCAGAATCCAAACGCTCAGCAGAAACTAAGACTCACGCTGGGTGCTTGGTTGACGTTTAATACAGGTGACATCTGCACACGCAAGCAGAGTTGCTCCATAATGAAACTCTAGGTTTTCCTAGAGAGCCTTGTGTGGCAAACACATAACCGGAGAAAGGCTCTCCCGTGAGTGCTGGGCACGGCTCGGAAAACAGATCTTTTCCATCGTGTGTGACCGTCTTCCCACCACCCTTGGCACTGGTCAGTGTGCCACGTAGGCCCGGCT